CATCTTCTTCCAAAACATATCTTTTTTAAATGGGAACCTGCATAGTGCTCAGGACCAACTCCCTAAGCAAGATAATGACTGCACTATAGAGCATATTAATATTCATAATATTAAGAAAGACCAAAAGTCTTCTAAAGAACATATCAATAATATCATATATATTAACCAGAAAATATTAAATAAAGATCATAATATTAATAACCCATATATCAAATGCTCTGCCAAAAATATATTATCTGAAAAAATGATTGAGAAAGCAAATATCAACAAAGAATATGAATACTTGAAGAAAATATATCGATTCCTTTAAAAAGTTTACTGGCTAGACTTAAGCAAAAGACCAAAAGGAAAACAAACATATTACTTTATGGCATTAATGAACAATTGGCCAATAAAAGTACTTCTTGATGAAGGAGCAAGTGGAAACATGATAGGTCAAGACATTGCAATAGAATGGAACTTATTACAATATTTGGACAAAGATAACAGAACAAAAGCAGTATTACTAGAAGGAAAAACAATCTCAAACCTAGGAGAAGTAAAAGCAACAATCCAAATAGAAGATATTCAAGCACAAATCAAAGTAACTATTATCAAAGGAGAACAACCTTACCTTCTCTTATCAGAAGTAGATCAAGCAAAATTACATATCACTAAAGATAGACAGAATAAGATAGCCTTAATCAATAACAAGCCTATAAGCTACCAAGAAATGGGATCAGACACAGGTTATAGGTGTAACCACCTAGCTTGTGATGGACCTGCTCACTTAACCTTGAAAAACCAACCCTCCTTATATTTATCTAAATACCTCTTTAAATGAGATACCCCCTTAAAAGTGAGAAAAAACATCTTGATGGTGCCCAACGTGTTTGGTAAAACAGTAACCCACACATGTACCCAGATGGCTAACCAACCTAATAAGACTAAACAAAATAACCAACAATCGAAAAATGCAGAAGAAAAAGTGAAATAAACTGATATTGAGTATCAGAAATCTAAAAATATTAAAATACTCAAAGAATTAATACCTAATTCTTTAAAAGAACAGAAAATACTTCTAAAGAAACAAGTTGAAAGAAATCAACAGAGAATAAAATTAGTAGGTGTAACATGCAATGGAAATTGGGTAGATATAGTCAGAACAGCTCTAGCAACAGACTCCAACTTATTACAAATATTCTTAGAATATAAAGAACCTAAAGGTATATACAAAAATAAACAAATGAAAAAATACATGATGGTACAAAATGGTGAACAAAATTATCAAGAAGATGATAATATTATACAAGGAAATAGAAAAATTGGACTAAAAATGATATTACATACATCAATAGGATTATACCTTAATGATCCATTATGGAATAATAGAAAAAGGCATTGGAAAATAAATAGAATATTAGAATAAATATATCACGCTGATAAAATAGGAATAAAATAAGCTGTAATACATATTGGAACAGCTGCAGATAAGAATCGGTCAGACATAATCGATAATATCAATGAAATATTAAAAGAACTAGTTCAACAACAATTAGAAATAGGTATATTGTTAGAAAACTCAGCAAGCAATAATTGCTATGGTGCAACAATACCAGACCTCATGGATATTGTAAATAGTATAGATCAACAGTTAAGGTTTAGAAACAAAGAGAAATCCAAGAAAAGGATTGAAATATGCTTCGACACCTAACATTACTACACAGTGGGTAGAGGCAAAAGAATCGATGAATATCGAAATATATACAATATGTATGGTTATAAAATAATAGTAACACATGTGAACAATAGTTCACCAGAAGTGATATTCGGTAAAGAAATGGACAAGCATGCACATATAATGGATACAGCAGCAAAAATACCTATAGAAGTCTATCAGATGATAGCAGGGCATAAAGAGGTCTATGCCATGATATTGGAAACTCCCAATAATGAAATAACACAACAAATTGCACAAATTCATAAAGTAGCAAAATTAAGAGAATTTGCCAATAATGTATTAAATAAAGAAACAATACAAGAAGAATGTTCCAAAAAAAAGGGATCAAGAATTAGAACAAAATATAGAAAATTATGAAGAAATTGTTAATATTTTTTATGGAATGCAATTTGAAGAACCAGCTATAATAGACTTAGCTGATCAGATAAGACGCATGACAATACATGCTTAGAATGAAAAACCAATTAATAAAGCACAACAAAAATTGAATGAACAATTAATTGTAAATGTGCAAGAAGAAATCAAAATGTTTAAAGAAACCAATGGAATAGTTCTCAAAAACAAGAAAGGGAAACAAAAAGCAATTCAAGAAACCATACCAGACACTCCTAGAATAGGAAGATTTGTGAAAGAAAATCTTACACAACTAGAAAGAGTATTACAAGAAGAAAAGAAAAATAATAGCAAAGAAATTGAAAAAGGCTTAAAGCAGTTAAGATATAGACTTCAAACTATTGAAGATAACTACAAATATATATCAAACTTACCAGATAAAGAGTTAGAAAGTCATCTAGGAACAGTAGAAAAAACTGCAAAAATAAATATTAATGATAAAGAAGAAGATAAAAAGAAAGCCTTATACAATATAATGCGAGCATTAACAGAGTCAGAAGATCAACAAGTGTAGAAGAATAAAGATGTGATTGAACAAATAGAAGAAGAATATCAATTTAATAAATACACATTATTAAATATGACAAAAGAAGAGTTCAATCAAATGCCACAATGGGAACAACAAATAGCAATGAGAAATTTCTTGATAGGATCAGAATTCTTAAGTGAAAAAGTAAAAAAACAATTTCAGGACAAGTACAAAGAACTACTAGCATCATCATTAGAAAATCAAGAAAAAATGCATGATGATGATGAAGTAGAAAAAAGATTTGTGAAAGACCAAAAACTAATAAGAGGAACACCACAACCTGAGCCATTCCCACCAGAGAATGCTACTCATAATAGGTATATATCAAAAGAAAATACCTATAGAAAAAGACCTGTATCTCCAACTTCTAGTGAAGAAGACTTTAATCTCAAAAGTAGAAACATAGGAGAATGGCTAAAGAGTCAAGCAAAAGAACCACCTAGGCCAAGCTCTCCAATAAAAGACTTTGTAAATAAAAATATTGTAGATCCAATATTTAGAAGTACACATGAAAGAAACAGTAATACATCAAGTCTACCAAAAATATCTTCTAGTTTAAAGAATGAAATAAATCTAGAAGATGATGAAAAAGAATTTAAACTTCAGAAACCACCTGTAAGATATAAAAGAACAAGAACAGTTGTATCAACTGATATGAATTTATCATCCACAAATGGAGATAAATGGAAAAGAGAAAGAGATATTAGAAGAAAATTCTTTCAAGAAAGTAGAAAAGAAGAAATAACATCAAAAGATGAAAAAGAAATAAATAAATTGGATAACATCATAGAAGATGATGTAAATGATTATTATGAAAATAGGTATAATAATCAAGAAGAAATAGGAGAATCCTCAAAACCAATAAGATATGAGGATGAAGATACTAGAATATTAGAAATAGCATAGAATAGACAAATAGCACAATACCCTGTAGCAAGAAATAGTGACTTAACAGATGAACAATAACAAAAAACATATGCATATACTTCATCAGAAGTGGCATAGCAAAACTATGAAAGTATTCAACATGAATATGAAAGTAAAAAAGAAGAAGAAACAAATAAAGGGTATGGAATAACAGAAACAGACGAAGAAAATGATAGTCTGTATGGACATTTCAAGGAAATGCCAATAGAAATACGACACATAATCTTACCAACTATAATAGAAGAAAGACAGGTAGATTATAAGGTATTCTGTAATAAGAATACAGAGATACCCCCTATGAATATAGGACATATCAGGATAAAAAACTCTGTAGAAAATAAGTATATAGGTACCCCTGTAGAACTTGCTAAAAAAGGAATAATTGTCAAACCTGGAATAGCAAATGATAGTTATATAACAATAATGAATATATCGAATAGAAATGTGAAATTTAACAAAGGACAACATATTGGAAATGTTGAGAAAATACAGAAAAATGATGAAATTTTTCTTATGAAATTACCTGATCTGAAAGATCAAAGTGAAAAAGAAAAAGAACGAATCTTGATTCTAAAGAATCAATGTGAAAAAACTGGAGGTCCTGGAACATGGAATCAAATTGGTCATATTCTTACAGAATATGTTGATGTTTTTAGAGAAAAATAAGAATATGCAACTAGAGTAAATACTAATGAAATACCGCCAATTGAATTAAATTTGAAAAATGGAATGAAAGAAAATAAAATACCAATGCGAGAAAAAAGGCAAGCATTGAGAAAATATAGTAAAGAAGATAAAAAGGGTATCAAAGAAATGCAAGATGACCTAATGAAAAGCAATATTATATTTAGTGGAAATACTGAATGGGGAAGTTCTGCACTAGTGATAACCAAAAAAGATAGAACAAAAAAGATTGCAATAGATTATAGAAATCTGAATAAGTACTTAGAACAATATAGAGAACCATTACCTGACTCTAAGAAGATGTTACAAACTGTTAGTAGATATAAATACTATATAACAATGGATATAAAATCAGCATACTGGCAACTAGTGATGCATGAAAACTCGAAGAAATATACAGCGACAACTTTCGCAGAGTATGGAACATATTGTTGGCATACATTATCATTTGGAATAAGCACAGCACCAGCATACTTGATAAGAGCAATAAACAAAATATTAGGATACTTAGATTATGTAGTAATCTAAATGGATGACTTTGTAATTTTATTGAATGATAAATCCAAGGCTCAAATAAAATTAACAGAGACATTAAGATGTTTAAAAAAAGTGGACCTAAAAATCAAATCATTAAAATGCGAATTTCTCATTCAAGAAACAATTATATTAAATTGTAAAGTGTCATATAGAAAAATTGGAAAAAATGTTTTAAAAATTAAAGAAGTAAATAAATTTACTACTCCCAAAAACAAAACAGAGTTGCAAAGATTCTTAGGGTTTATGAATTATTTTAGATCCTTTATTTTAGACTTTGCAAGAGTGGCAACACTGCTATATGGATTAATAGAAACAGCAGAATTTAAATAGACTGACGACTGCCAAAAAGCAATGGAAGAACTCAAACAGCAAGTTAAAAATGAATTATTATTATCATTCCCAAATCCAAACAAACTATTTTTCATGGAAACAGATGCTTCAGATCATGCAATAGGTGCAATACAATATCAACAAGAAGATGAATCACAAGATTATTGGAAAGTTAAAGAATCTCTAAAAAAGAAAGACTTATTACGAAGTGAACTTAATGATTTTTCCAAACCACCAAGGTATAACAAAACCATTATAGAAATTGGGTTACATAGCCTATCTGCAACACAGAAAAATTGGCCAACAACATTAAAAAAAATGTATGCAATATATTACTTTGTAAAACAATGGGAGCACTACATAGAAACACAGGAGTTACATATGTACTCAGATGCAACAGGAGTGACAGCAAATAAAACTGGATGATATGTTAATAAAACATTAGACAACTATAATGCAGAACTTAGACAAACAGTCAATCTTCATATACATAGAATAGAAGAAGTGCAAAACTTTGCAGCAGATTTTCTAACTAGAGGAACAACAGATGAGTTACAACAATTGGAAGAGTTGAAACAACTCAAGAAAAAGAAATAATCCTTTATTAAAATATAATTAATCTGAATAATCATAATATTTATCATTATCGATACTCTCGTCAGGATTACAAGAATAATAGTTAACATAAATACATCCTTGGTCAGAATAGATTTCTGGACCAAAATCATATCCTTGATTAGAATTTTAGAAGAATCTTAGAAAAAATCAAGAGCATCAAAACAATCAATTTTAGATAAAACAGGTTGAAAAATTCTAGAAGAATGAACCTTAACAGTAAAAGGATCTGTAATAAAAAATGTAAGAATTAGAATAGAATATTCGATCGTTATGCACACAGGCCAGAGGTAGATAAACCTAACTACTCTGGTCCGGCAGTGCATGAAAACCCAACAATAAGAAAATACCTTACCATCCTTAAGAGACAAATCAACAAAAATTGATGAAAGATCCTCATATGGAAGTTGAAGAGAAGTATAACAATGAGTATACTTATTATTATGAAAATTAGGACCAAAGAAATTATAATGCCAAAAGTGTTGATTAGAGGTCGAAAAATAATAATGAAAAATTAAAGAAAATTTTTCAGAATTAGGACAATGCTCAAAAAGAAAGAAGATAAAATCTTCAAGAAAAGTTATATTCTGTTCAAGGAAAAGAAAATAATCTTTAGAATAACCAATAATGGAATTATCTAAAATATTAAACACTCCGTTATAACCTTCAGAAAAAAGCTTTGATGGATAAGGCTTGATATAATCAGTTGAAAAAGTAGATTGCTTACAAAAGCAATTGTAAAAAGAATTAAAGTTAGGAAAAATAGAACTTTTTCAAAGAATACGGATAAAACCATTAAGAAAAACAACTCTAAGTTCAAGAAGAACGCATGATGAGTAAGCAATGAAATCTATAATAGAAAACTTTCAAAAGTAGACAAATTAGAAAATACAATGAAATAAGAATAATACAGAAATTAATAAATTAAAACAATAGGATAATTGATGGAAAAAGTATAAAAAGGGTTATAAGGAAACCAATTGTATAGATAAAACTCATGAAGAATTTGAGAAAAAACAAAGTGGAAAAGTTACCTCTTAAGTAGAAAAATAATACAAAACTTGATAACAGCATATACAACACTTGTAATACTAGATAGAAAATATTGGATAATACAAGAAGAAAGTTGTAAGCCACCTCAAGATAGATATTTCATATATGATGATATTTGGAATACAAATTCATTTGTAGAATTTGAAATCATCTAAACAAATGAAAGATGATGTTGAGAAAATTATTAATGAACTTCCTATCAAAGCAAAGATTTCATCAGAAAAACAAATAAAGAATATCTTAAAAGAAGAGATAGAATGTATCAAATTCCTACAACAAGAAGGAATTCTCTATAAAAATCAAAAATGTTGGCCCTGTGGAAATGAGATAAAACAAAAAGATAAGAAATGGAATTTTACATGACGTGATTGTAGAGTATCACAATCTGTACTCACATTCTTATTCTTTGAAAATTACAAGATTTCCATCAATGAAGTATTTAAAATATACTATTTATGGCTTATCAAAGTGCCAGCAACACCCATTCACATAATGACTAAACATTCGACACAAACAATAGCAAATAATATAAACAATATTAGACAACTTGTTGAATCACAAATAAATGACACACATGATAAGATAGAAGGAAAAGATATCATTGTAGAAATAGATGAATTATTATTTGGATATGTAAAGTATCATCGTGGAAAACTTATAGATGGTCAATAGGTCATTGAAGGCATAGAACGAACTCCAGAACACAAAATATTTGTAGTAACAATAGATAAGTATGATGAGAAAACATTGACTAATATCATTAAAGCAAATGTACATGAAGAATCAATAATATACACAGATCTATAGAAAGGTTACAAAAACTTATCTGTGAAGTACAGATACCAACATGAAACCGTGAATCATTCAAAATATTTCAAAGATCCTGAAACAGGTGTACACACAAATACCATTGAAGGAAATTGGCTTGACATAAAAATATTGACACCAAGCAGAAATAGAGCTAAAGATAAGCTTTAACTATATCTATCAGAATATATATAGTGACGACAAAACATAAACAACTTGTGGGAAGGTTTCCTATAATGCCTAAAGAGTTATCTATTGATAGAAGCAGAAGATAAACCTTTAGAGAAAAATGATGAAACCAAACAATTAGAAAATCTAAATAAATCCTAAATTATAAAAAGATCCAAAAATAATCTTATCTAACATCCAAGAACCAACCAAAGAAACCAATGAATAAATCCAATGACTACTCAAATATGGAAATTACCCTAGACAACCAAAACAATTCCAAAAGAAGAAATGGTAGTAACTTGGGTACAACAGATAGAAGAAACCAATACTTAACTACAATTAACTTATGATATCAGAAATATCAAACAGAAACTTGGTGTAAAGTTCAGCCACAAACCAAAAACTTATCACTACTTAGTCGAAACACTAACCAATTTGGCTTATCTAAGAAAGTACAACGATCCTCAAGAAAGAATGACAGAAGTTTCAGAGAAACTTCAAATGAGCTTCGACCCCAAACAAAATTTGGTGGATCAATTAGTGAAGCTATTGATCTTACAGAAACAGAACAACCATGTCAACCTAATATTGAATTATCTGGATGAGATGAAGAAAGTGTATCTCAAAGAACTTTAAATAATAATGAAAAAACCATGAATATTAGAGCAACACCAGTACCAGGAAATAGTCACACAAATGACTCTTCAACTAGATTCTTACAGGTACCAAACGGAACTACATATGAATCCAGAACAACTACTCCAGAAGAAACAGGAAGTGTACAATGTAAAATATGCTCTGGAACACTTGGACAACATGAATACTGGGACTGTCCAAACACAATATGTAATAAATGCAAAGAGACAGGACATACATACTGAAACTGCCCATATGCTCCATTATGAAAAAATAGAAGCTAGTATGTTAATTTAGCTGAATGCAAAGAGTATCAATGTGAATATTGTCTTATAAGAGGACATAAGCAATATCAATGCAAAGAATTATTATTGGACAAAGCAAATGAATATAATGGTTGTGGATGTAATTCAAGAGAAGTAACTGCAACAAGAATAAACCATTTAATCAACCCAAACTCTTCAACATCAAAGTCAAAGAAGAATCATTGTTGCAACTGTAAATTACCATTTACAAGAAATAATTTAATAAGAATACAAAGAAGAAATAATAGAATTCGATTAAAATATGAAGAATGTGCATATGAATATGTAAGATACTTTTGACAAAATGAACCTCAGAAAAAACAAATAATGGAATAGTTAGAACACAAAGAAAAGTTAATTGAATGTTACCTTTGTAAAAAGAAAGGAACAAAAAGAGAATTTGCAAATTATGGAAATATATTCTTTTGTACTTGGGAAGAAAAATATGCCTATCAAATATATCTTGATATAGTAGACCCTTGCCATAATTATACTTATGAAGGAAGGAAAGAACATTGGCTCAATACTAAACAGTTAGCAGGAAATTATATAACAATCAATAGATCAATAGTAAAAAGAATCTATGACTATATTGCAGAAGGAGAACCTAATCTACAATAACTAGAACTTCTAAAAGAAGAAAAAGAAGAAGATGAATTCTCTTATCCAAAGACACCAATTCTCTATAACAAAGAAAATAATGATGTCGAAGAAGAAATAGCTTATAACCAAGCTGTTACTGAAAACTTAAACAATTTGGATAAAGGAAATACAAAGAGACCAGAAACATATGATAAATGGTGTAAAGAAACATCTAAAGTAGGATGTACTTTTTGTAAAGAATGTCTTTTATCAATCAATATCAAAGAACAAAGTAGTTATGTAAACATAACAAATATGATGGAAAAAGCCATCTACCCATACTGTATTAATTGCTACAACAAAGTATACCACCTGACACAATATTGCACCAAGTGTACCCAAAACCCTCTAGGATCAGAAGAAGACCTAGCAAAAGGAATATGTCGAGAATGTTATACTAAAGAAAAAGGAAAAGCTAAGTAAGAACCTCCAAAAGACTACTTCTTTCATGAACCAATGACAACTGAGCAATAAGTATTAAATGAAATGCTTTACAATTATCCTTTACGATTTGAACATATAGAAGAAGCACTCTCCAAAGTAGAAATAGAAAACCAAATACTTTAACAACAAGTAGACCAAGAACATCTTATAAATTTAATAAAGTATGAAGGTTTAAAGAAAATGATCCAAAGAATAGTAGGAGTAATTGACGAATCTGTAGACTACATCAATGAAAGTATTAGTCAAAACAGCCATATGTACTCATTTGTAGAGTATCAAAGAGAAGCAAGTGCTATAGTCAGAGCTCGACAAGAATTAAAAGAATTACAAGAATCTAGACTTCCAAAAGAACAACAAGCATTTAAAGAAGCAATGCAAAGAGGGCAATCACAAATAAGAAGATCACCAAGAATTACAGTAACAATTATAATTGAAAATGATGATATGGAAGTAGAAGAAATCTCCTAAGAAGAATTCTAAAAGAAGATTCCTAGCAGAACAAATTCTGCACCACCATTTCTGAGAATAGAAGATGAACTATTCAAAAGAAGATAATTGTACTACAAAAATAGTATCAATATTATCTAATCATTATTTATTATTTAAACATATAATTAAACCATATATAGTTTATCAAATATCATTAGTATTAAAATAGTCAAATTATTATTTATTATTTATCAATGTAAACAAAAATGTTTAAAGGTATGTAAAAGGATAAGTACTCCATAGTCTGAGATGGTGCGTGACGAAATTAATAATCAAATATTTATATCACACTGGATTGTGATTCATGATAAGACAGAACATGTCATATGAGTAATATTTGTTTGATTAATAATATCCTTAAAGGAATAGTATGCAATAGCACTATGCGATAGATGGGGCTTAGTAGCACCAAGACATCCAAAGATGGTGCAATGATAAGATGCCCAGAATAGGTGCACAAAGAATAACATTGATAAGACATCTGAGACAGATGCACAAGATTATTTACCTGTGAAAGGTATACAAGATTATCAAAGTATCGTTTGGGTCATGATACAAAGAATTCAACAAAGAACATTAACATTAGGATACAAACAAAATTAACAGAGCATTAAGATTTAACAAAGAACATTAGATGCAGAAATTAACAAGACGTTAAGATGCATAAATATTTACAAACATTAAATTAGTAATTAGGATAGATATCATTGAAAAATAGCATCAATGAAAAATCAAATTAGAAATTAATAACATGAAAAAGTCTATTTAAAGACATGGAAATGACCATGAAGCAACATGGATCATCAGCAAAAAATAATTAAAATACTACAAAAGAATCATAACAAAATAGCTTATTATGAAAAGATAGTATCAAGTTTAGAATTTACATTAGAACTTGAAGAGACTGAACAACATCAATCTTACTGAGAATTAATTCAAATATTAATTGAATAAGAATCAACTTCACAAGAGTTGATAAAAGCAATCAAAGAAATACAACAAAGTTCTGAAGAAAGATTTAAGCAAATCTTAGAGTTAGCAAAGAAAATTGCACTCAAAAAAGTAGAAATATACAAAGGATCTGCAAAAGAAATTTATGAATCAATCAACACTCAGTAAAGAAGAAAAATTCACAGAAATAGTACAAAGAAACTATAAAGTACCAAATTACTATACAGACTTAGTATTTAGTCTAGAAGCAATCTTGCGAAAAGGAAAAGAAGATTAACAACAGTCATACCAAGACTTAATTGATAAAATATCTGGAACAGATAAACCAAAGAGAGAACACGAAATACATCTTGTAACAGAAATAAAAGAAAGTTCTAAAAATAGGAAAGAACAAATTATAGAACTGATAATATATTTCTTTCATTAAGCATCAAAAGTAGATTTTAAAGCAATAAAAGAAATTGATGAACTCTTTGGAAGAAATTAATGAACTCTACTAAGAAAACATTTAAGGAATCAATTAATGAATTAAAAGAAACAGTTTTAGATCAATTAAAAGAAAGAGAATCCTTTGAAGAAAGCATAACATTTGACAGAAATCACTTAGTAGCTAAAGAACATATCTGGAAAGAGTGGAACATAATATATATTCAAAACCTAATTAACAAGAGAAGATCAATTAATATCATAACTAAAGAAGACTGATATAACTATTATACTGAAGCTATAAAACTCAAGTAGACTATAGAATACCAAGATACTACAGATCAAATAGAAAACAAGTCTCAGAAGCAAAGACATATTACGACTGGTCAAAGATAATTGAAGATAAATTAATTGATAATTATGATTATATTCCAACAGAATATAAAAGTAGAAGAATATATTATTACAAACTAATAAGTCTCACACCAACTCTAGTAGAAATATATAATCCAGAAGAAGTGAATGAGCAAAACTTATAAACACTGTTTAATAGAACAGAAAACTGTATTAAAAGTCAAGGAATAGGATCCTGTGATAATTGTATAATAACAGGAAGATTCTGCAAGGTAGAATTAAAAGAAAGAAGTCCAAGAGAAAAAGAAAAACTTTCAAGAAAGAAAACAGAACCAACATATGATAACTGTATAATCTGTAATGAATTTAGAAAAGTAAATCAAGTAGAAAAAATCTGTAAAAGTTGCAAGATAACAATTAATAGAAAAGAAACTAAAAGAAGAAATCAGGAATTTCTAGAATCAGTAAAATTTCAACAAGAAACAATACAAAACTGTGAATATTGTCTTGAAAGACATAAAGAGTGTATAAAGAAAGCAGAGAGTCAAATCTTTAATTTGAATGCAATTGCAGTACAAGAGTTGTAACAATTGTGCAAGAAGACATCTAAAGTGCCTAAGAGAAAAACCAGAACAAACTTGTAGAAACTGTACTCGAAGAAGCGAGAACTGTAAAACTATTTTAAAGAAACAAGGAAAGAAAAGAAATAGAGAAAAACAAATCTTAGACAAAAAAAGAAAACCTAAGGAAAGAAGATTTGAAAAGTGTAAATTGTGTAGAAGACCACAATTTCTAGATTACAAAAACACTTGTAGAAAGTGCAGAGTAAAAAAAGTTCAAGAAGAAAGATTCATGGAAGAAATCTTAAACTTTGAATGAAAAAGAAAAGTTGTCAACCTTGTATAACACTCAAAAGAAAGTGTGAAAAGATACCATATTACAAAAAGTGTATTAACTGTGCAGAAGAAGGATTAACCTGTACATCAGCAGAAAAACAAAATTATACATCTTTAAGAAAAAGCTGTAATAATTGTTATATTAGAAAAAAGAAGTGTCAGAAATCACTTACAGACAAACAGTATCACTATTGGAAGAAAGAAGAAAAAGATTGTACTTACAATATTAAAACAAAGAATCGACAATATTATCATATGATAAGAAAATTGAAATTAATGATAGTATACTGGAAAATTCTATTAGAAATAAAACGAGCAATTCAAGATTATCAATCTCAAATAATTACAGAAGAAAGCTTAAAAGAAAAGCTAAATAAAAATCTGAAAGATTTACTAACAGGAACATTAAGACAATTAGTCTGTAACCTCTTTTATACAGTATTAGAAAGAGAATCTAAAGAACTAACAAAAGTAGTTCAAGAAATAGATAGACAAACAGAACCAAGCAAATTGGTATCAGAAGTAACATCTAAAATAGATGAACATACTACCTGAATTTCAAGAAATAATTAGAACAGTACAAGCGATAGTTGAATTACAAACAGCGGTTGAAGAAATAGAACAATTCAAATATTTTTTAACTTAAACAGAATTAAGAATAGATTATATAAGAGCAAACATAGAATTAGGAAGAATAACAACATTAGAAAATTTAGATAGTTCAATAACAGAGCAAAAGGAATGTCTAAAAGAAATTATTACTGAAACATATAAAGATATTGAAGAACAACAGAAGGATAAATTAAAACAATTATTAGAAAAATTATTCCTAATAATAAGGAAAGAATCAACCTTTAATGGTCTAACAAGAGGATTAGCAGAGGTATCAACAAAAATAAAGAAAACAATCCAACAACTAAATCAAGTAGGAATACAATTACGAGAAGAAAACCTACTAGTAACATTACTAGAAAATACTCAAGATAAGTCAGAAGAAATCTAAAGTATCTAACTTAACTGTTAAGATACAAGAAGAAAATCAAAAACAAATAGAAAAAGAAAGTGTAGAAACATGGATTAAAGAAAAAAAAGAATCCAAACAATTTGAAGATATTGCAAAAGAAATGAGCATAAATAGTATCATAGATAAAATGATATATCAAGAATTACAGCAAACAATAGAAGAAAGCTTTAAAAGCATTAAAGCTACAATAATAGTAGCAACAGGAGCAATAGTAGTTGGAAAGACAACTGCATTATTAGAAATAAAAGACTTCTTTAAGAAACAAGAAATCCAAGTATTCCAATTTAAAGCAATATCAGAAAAATCATCAGAATTATTAAAACTGATGTATTCAGCAAAACAAAACACATTTGCATTACAAATATTCATATTATAGGAATTCCAAAAGAATTTATTACAATTAAAAATATTGGAATTAGAAGAAAAAATTGATGAAAAGACAATAATACTCTTTGATAGAGCAGTACCAGATACAATAATATTTGAGATGAATAATATTTAAGATAAACAACAAATAGAAATATTAAGAAAAATGAGAAAAGATCTTAGTGAAAAACTGATCAACCAATATGATCATATATTATTCTTCAAATTAACAATGAAAAAAATGCTTAAATGATTTAATGAAAGAAAGCGAGAATCTGATAAACAAATATCAGAAGAATATCTAGTCGATATATATGACAGATATGAAGAAATGATTGAAATGGTATATCTAAATTATATCAAAATTATCAATAATCACAAAGGATTGAATGATATGCTTAGAACAATATTCATCAAAAGATCAAGAATTGAAAATGAAAATTAATTATATGATAAAACAGCATTAACAGAATTATCCATAATGCTGCCAGAAATACCAGTAGAACAAGAGCAAGGATATACTGTTGTAATACTATTCATAAAAAGAAATAAAACATAGTACATATTAACCTCACAAAGAATAAACACTATGATATACCAAAATTAATATCAAACATGTGGAGGCAAAAAAGAAGAATATAAAGACTTTAGAACATGTGCAATCAGAGAAGCACAAGAAGAAATTAATTTAAAATTGATAGTAGAAAGGATACAATTAATCCTAAAACATACTTATTATTCGCACAATAAGTCAGAGACAAAACCAACAACAAACAAAGATTATCAAGAAGATAGAATTAATCAAGCTAACTTGGTACAAATACCAACATATCTATATTGGGTACAACATAATGAATTAACCCAAATTAAGAATAATGAACCTTTAAAACAATCAGACTTAGATTGGTGAAATTATGAACAATGTAAACACTTAGTGTTCACGCCAACATTAACTGATAACATTACAAAAATATTTAAGTACTACATTCCCAAATATGTTGAAGAATACTCCAAAAGAGAAAAGGTGACAAGAGATCCTTATCAAATCAACCAAAAAAAAAAATATCCGAAGAATCAATGAAATTAATTATTGTCACTACTAAGAAGGTGAAGAATATGTACTACCTCCAAAATAATAGAATTCTCTGTACAACTAAAACCAAAGAACACTGCTAAGGGCCCAGTCACATCTCAGTGTGTCCGGTTATTAGGAAATTTTAATGGTCATGTCACATGTGTGACAAATAGACATTAGTTATAGATTGGCTGAAACAGATCACCAAATCTGGAAATGATAACGAACGATGAACAATCTGTTTACATAATATCATTACGATAATGAATTTATTATTAGTCATGGCTTAATAGTCATAGCCTTCACAAATGTATAAATAGCAGTAGGTTTTACCTTTCTCTACTTTAGAATTTTTACAATCCAAATTCTCAACATAAGAATTTTTACAATCCAAATTCTCAACACAAGAATTTTTACAATCCAAATTCTCAACACAAGAATTTTTGCTTAAAACTTTACAACACAATAGTTTAGAATTCTCACTGATAGAATTATTGCTACAAAATAATTTTGTATTGAATACAATAATTCTTGAATCGATAGTTAAAACCTTATCTTCCTCTAAATTAGAATTTCTGTTAGAAGACAGAAAATATAATTAATAGTGCCCAACAAAAGGCAAATAGCCTATGGCAAAAATAGAGTTTAAATCACAAATAGCCTAACATACTTTAAAGGCACCTAATGTGCAAAAACACAAAATATAGCTTAGATAGCTAATTGAGCCTAATGTGTTAGGAATACATTTTAATCTTAGAAGAGTCTAAGAACAAAGGCACCAAATGTATTCATCAAGAGAAATTATAAAAGAAAGCTCAAAGACAGGAGCCTAGAAAAGAAAAGTCAAAGGTGTCCAACGTGTAAACTATTTAAACAGTAAGAGCATATAAGCTCAACAAATTTTAAGACATTTAACGTGAGCCTAAGAAATTAAATCCCAGGAGCCCAATATGCAAAACATTAAACAAAAAAGTATATACAAGAAAGACATCCAATATATAAAACTTTCTAATAACCGTAGATCAAAGGAAAGTAAACTGATAGCCAAAAACTAATCAACAGAAATATACTTACAATGTGGAGGAGGACTTACAACAACTTACTCCTAGAACCCACTAGACATTAACAATATACACCCACCAATCCTTGGGCAAGAAGTTAATAACTACTAGTATATAGTTTAACACATTTATTATTTAATAAACACAATTTTATTTAAAGAAAAATCTTTGAACATAAAACTTTTATCTGAAAAAGTTTCTATAAAAACAAGTGTTAGTAAAAATAAATATATAAGACTCTAATAAACTCTAAGATAAAAAAGTATCTTTTAAATAAGTGAAAAGTAGTCTAAGACTTGAACAAGCAAGTATCTAAACACTCTTGTAAAATAAAGGAACTACTCTAAAGAAACTATAAAAATACTGAGAAAGTATAAAGAAAGTATTACTGAGATAGTAAATACAAGTACTACAAGAACTTTATCCATCCTTAATATATAAAGAAAGTTGGAGTAGTGCCCAACTATAAAACTATACAACATCTATACTAAAACTATTTACGACTACAAGAAGAACATAATTGACAAAGAGAGTCTAAGAAACTCTTATCAGATATAACAAGATTCTAATACACTAAAGATTATCTGTGATAACACTACTAGATTTGACTACCAAGAAAGAAGCTGAAAAGGCAGCTGGAAAGCGAAAACAAAACTTCTATTTGATTACACCCTTGGACTGATCATCTAAGAACAAATCTATATCAAATCTTGTAATTAGTAATTTGACAATTTAATGCGATTCTACCAAATAATTTTGACACTAGCAGTACTCATTATACTGATATCAAGAGGAAAAACTATCAACACAACTGTACCAATACCATTACCATCAATTATAATATCTCCAACTACAATACAATCTGTACAAACAGTGACTCAGGCACCAAACTTCTTTAATGACCAAAACACTATAAATGAGCTATTAGCATTATTTGTAACAATAATAGGATCAATAGCAACAATAACTACAACAATCTGTGTATGCAAAAGAAAGCTTAGTAAAGCAAGAAATCAAGTAAACAAACTGAATAATCAAATCCAATTACCACCATATTAAACCTAATTTGAAATAAAAGAACTTCTTATATAATCAAATTTTATTTTTTATCAAAGACAAGAGATAAGATTGCTGACCAAGCAATCTGATGTCAACAAATATTACAAATAATTGTATAACAATAGATAACAATCCATTTGCAACAACTCTTATCTATTACCTAATTATTGAAACAATAACAATACTATTAATAATATTCATTTGTTATTATAGACAACAAAGATATAAAAAGAGAGTCCTCAAGGCAATTCCTAGAGCAAACCAGTACCTTGAAGCAAATAGCAATTGCTGCTGTTGTTAATATATGTCCAACAAAAATAATTCTTTATTATATAACCTATTACCAAGACAGACAAGGTCAACACCAAACCTAAGACCAACTCAAACTCAATTAGGAATAGCAAGAAAGATTAATAAAATCTTAGATATAAGGAACAACAAACCTACAAGATCTTTACCATCTATACCAAACATCTTAAGACCACTACAAGTGGCACCCAAGATAAACCTACTCAAAAGGAAGAAATAAATGAAACTTGAAGTAACATCCTTCCTAGGAGAAATAACAACTTTAATCTTACTCATAATAGGACTGATAGTATTTATAATCATAATACTTATCAACAGAAGGAAACAAAAGAAAAGAACATTAGGACAACAATTAACCTTGAACCAAGCAACAAGAATAGCAATACCAAACATAGGACTAATTAATAAACAATTTGGAACAACATATTAATGGCAAATACTGTTATACAAATAACTATACCAACACCAATATTAATAGTAACAGCAACAACTATTCAAACCACAACTGCAACAATATCACTATTCACAACTAAGAATCCAGTATTCTTTCAAAATCAAAATGTTATAGACATAGTAGCAGTAATAGTAACATTAATTATAGTATTAGGAATAACATTACTCATAATTATTACCTGTATAAAAAACAGAAGAAATCAACTATTAAAACATGACATTTTAAGAAAAAACAAATATATTGCAAATCAAGTACAAGCAACAATAACTACTTTTTAATGAGCAAGTATATTACTAAAGAATGCTACAAAGGATTAGTACTTGAATTATTATAACCAAAACAGGAACCTAAATATACTAAAGAAGTAAACCAAGAAGTCAAAGAACCAAAAGTTATAATACCAAAGGATTATCTAGTAAAGAAATACTTATTAGAAACCTGAAAGAAACAACTTAGAACAAATATTATCCAAACAGAAAACCTTATCAAGCTACAGAAGTTAGCAATAGAACTACAAGAACCAAACGAACTCATTGTAGAAATAGGATCAAAAATCCAAGAAAAAGGAATTAACAAAAACAAACTCTAATGTTTACTTGTGACAGAGAAAGCCAAACTTATTATTCAACCTTCCTAGCATACTATTATAAATATGGATCAAAAAAATTATCTTCTCTAGAAAAAGAAGAAATCAGAAAAGCAAAAGAAAAACTGTTAACCAAACTACAAGAAGTAGAACAAGAAGTAACAGAAATAATAGAAGAAGAAAAATTAATCAGAGTAATTATAACAATAGCACCAGATACTACTCCAGTACTACATACAATAAAAATAAAAGTACCAAGAAGATATAGATTCATAAGAACAATATCTGAAGAAGAATTAGCATGCCTAATAATTTATAGTCATGAACTATGCAATTACTCAACATATAATTTAGCAGTACAGCAATCAGGAATTGCTAAAACAAAAATACAAGATTATCTAAGAAATGCCAAAATAATAAAACCACAAATATATTAAACTGGCAGCACAACCAGAAGTAAGATTTTCAAACTTAAAATCATTATATGGAATCAGAAACTTCAATGTAGAAATAGCAGAATATATTCAATGGAGAAATGAATTAGAAATAAAATTTACTGAAATGGACATGGATAATATACTAACTGTATTTAGAAGATTCAGTAGAAACCCAAACTTAGGATATACCATGCAACAGCCTGATTATGATTCAGGAGCAGATTTACCAAAAGCATACTGGAACATGGAATTCTTCAAAAGAATAAAATTAGTAATATATACAAAATTACATAGAGCAGCTAGAAGACTATTAACAACAAACCCAAATGTGAATTGTTACTTTAGAGTAATAGCAAACCAAAATGAATTAAACAATCTAAAAGATTCAACCAATTACCCAATAACAGTAGGAGTAAATTACGCACAAAACAATTGGCATAATATTGGATTAGTAGGCAGAAGCCAATGCACATACCAAACACCTCAAATATCATTAAGAGAATTACTAGATAATGCATATCTAACAGATGAAATCCAACTAGAAAGACAAAAAGATTTTCAAAATCTTATATACAAACCAGATTATGGTACAGAAAATGATATAGATAACTTCAGAAATAGATATGAAGAAACAATAGCATTATCAAACTTCACATAAGCAGGATGGAACCAAGGAGAATATGCAAGACTATTAGATATGATACCAATCACCTACAACTACCAAATAATGGCAAAGAGACAATAAACAAACAAGCATTTTTCAAAGAAGTGAACACTATATTTCATGCAAAAAGGAATGAAATAATTTCAAAAGAAGAAATCAAGACAGGATCAAAAATCAAAATCCATAACTTTAACAATAATAAAAGAAAACCAGTAGACAAATCTAAAGCTAGATGCTTTAAATGTCAACAATATGGTCATTTTGCAAAAGATTGTACCAATGAAAGAAAAGAATTTTTCAACAATATTGATTCCAGAAGAATGACAAAAAACTTTCCTAAATAATTCAAATGACCATGTCAATACTGCAAAATGTTTTCACCAAGACATGAAAGAACATGTTTAAGAAATAATGGAAAATATTACAATGGATCAAGAAGTAACTAAATGCAAATTGGAAGATATAATAACAATAACAGAAATAATAGAAATAACAACAAAAGTAATAATCAAAATAATTATCAAAACAACAACAATCGAAATTGATACAACAAAGGTCAAAAACCACCCAAAAGATATCATAATTATCAACCTGAAGAAAAAAAAAAGAATTATAAAAAACCTGAAAGAACTGAAAGAAGGGAATCAAGAAATGATAAAAGAGACTTCAAAAGAAAAGAAAATCCAAAACGATACAATCATTACAAAGAAGAAGATGATGAAGAACCTATAGCATCTTCCTTAAAAGCATCTTCTTTCAAAACATATTTTTTTTAAATAGGAACCTGCATAGTGCTCAGGACAAACTCCCTAACCAAGATAATGGCTGCACTATAGAGCATATTAATATTTATAATATTAAGAAGAACCAAAAATCTTTTAAAGAACATATCAATAATATCATATGTATTAATCAGAAAATATTAAATAAAGATCATATATTAACAACCTATATATCAAATGCTCTGCCAAGAATGTATTATTTGAAAAAATGATTGAGAAAGCAAATATCAACAAAGAATATAAATACTTGAAGAAAACATATTGATTCCTTTAAAAAGTTTACTAGCTAGACTTAAGCAAAAGACCAAAAGGAAAGCAAGCATATTACTTTATAACATTAATGAACAACTGGTCAATAAAAGTATTGCTCAATGAAGGAGCAAGTAGAAATGTAATAGAACAAGACATTGCAGTAGAATGGAACTTATTACAATATCTGAACAAAGATAATAAAACAAAAGCAGTATTACTAAGAGAAAAAACAATCTCAAACCTAGGAGAAGTAAAAGTAACAATTCAGATAGAAGATATTCAAGCACAAATCAAAGTAACTATCATCAAAGGAGAACAACCTTACCTTCTCTTATCTGAAGTAGATCAAGCAAGATTACATATCACTAAAAATAGACAAAATAAGATAGCCTTAATCAATAACAAGCCTATTAGCTACCAAGAAATAGGATCAGACACAGGTTATAGATGTAACAACCTAGCTTGTGATGGACCTGCTCACTTAACCTTGAGAAACCAACCTTCTTATATTTATCTAAATACCTCTCCAAAAGAAACACCCCCTTAAAAGTGAGGAAAAACATCTTGATAGTGTCCAACGTAGTTCTAGACAAATGAACACTGGCTAATAACACAATTAATGGTGACCAACAAGAGAAATGTTGGTTACCTGCACTTTGCTTGGTGCCCAATGTGTTTGGTCAAACAGTAACCCATACACGATGTACTCAGATGGCTAACCAACCTAATAAGAATAAGCAAAATGACAAACAATTGAAAAATGCAGAAGAAAAAGTAAAATGGACTGATATTGAATATCAGAAATCCAAAAACATCAAAATACTTAAGGAATTAATACTATATTTCTTAAAGGAACAAGAAATACTCCTAAAGAAGCAAGATGAAAGAAATCAACAGAGAACAAAATTAATAGGTATAACATGTAATAGAAATTGGGTAGATATAGTCAGAACAGCTCTAGCAACAGACTCTAATTTATTACAAATATTCTTAGAATATAAAGAACCTAAAAGTACATATAAAAATGAACAGATGAAAAAATACATAATGGTACAAAATGGTGAACCAAATTATCAAGAAGATGATAATATCATACAAGAAAATAGAAAAATTGGACTAAAAATGATATTACATACATCAATGGGATTATATCTTAATGATCCATTATGGAATGATGGAAAAAGGCATTAGAAAATAAATAGAATATTAGAAGAAATATATCGTACTAATAAAATAGGAATAAAATAGGCTGTAATACATATTAGAACAGCTGCAGATAAGAATCAGTCAGACATGATCGATAATATCAATGAAATATTAAAAGTACTAGTTCAACAACAATTAGAAATAGATATATTACTAGAAAACTCAGCAAGCAATAATTGCTATAGTGCAACAATACCAGACCTTATAAATATAGTGAATAGTATAAATCAACAGTTAAGGTTTAAAAACAAAGAGAAATCCAAGAAAAGAATTAGAATATGCTTCGACATACAACATTATTATACAGTGGGTGGAGGCAAGAGAATCGATGAATATCAAAATATATACAATATATATGGCCATGAAATAATAGTAACACATGTGAACAATAGTCCACTAGAAGTGATATTCAGTAAAGGAATAGACAAACATGCACATATAATGGATCTAGCAGCAAAAATACCTATAGAAGTCTATAGATGATAGCAGAACATAAAGAGGTCTATGCCATAATATTGGAAACACCCAATAATGAAATAACACAGCAAATTGCACAAATTCATGAAGTAGCAAAATTAAGAGAATTTGCTAATGATGTATTGAATAAAGAAACAATACAGGAAGAATGGTCTAAAGAAAAGGACAAAGAATTAGAACAAAACAAAGAAAATTATGAAGGAATTGTTGATATTTCTTATGGAATACAATTCGAAGAGCCAGCTATAATAGATTTAGCTGACCAAATGAGATGTATGACAATACATGCTCAAAATGAAAAACCAATTAATAAAGCACAACAAAAATTGAATAAACAATTAATTGTAGATATGCAAGAAGAAATCAAAAATTTAAAGAAACCAATAGAATAGTTCCCAAAAACAAGAAAGAAAAACAAAAAGCAATTCAAGAAACTATATCAGATACTTCTAGAATGGGAAGATTTGTGAAAGAAAATCCTACACAATTAGAAAGAGTATTACAAGAAGAAAAGAAAAATGATAGCAAAGAAATTGAAAAAGGCTTAAAGCAGTTGAGATATAGACTTCAAACTATTGAAGATAATTACAGATATATCAAACTTACCAGATAAAGAATTAGAAAGTCATCTAGGAATAGTAGAAAAGCTTGCAAAAATAAATATTAATGATAAAGAAGAGGATAGAAAGAAAGCCTTATACAATGTAATATGAGCATTAACAGAATCAAAAAGATCAACAAAGTGTGGAAAAATAAAGATGTGATTGAACAAATAGAAGAAGAATATCAATTTAATAAATATACATTATTAAATATAACAAAAGAAGAATTCAATCAAATGCCACAATGGGAACAACAGATAGCAATAAGAAACTTCTTGATAGGATCAGAATTCTCAAGTGAAAAAGTAAGAAAACAATTTCAGAATAAATATAAAGAATTACTAGCATCATCATTAGAAAATCAAGGAAAAATGCATGATGATAATGAAGTAGAAAAAAGATTTGTGTAAGACTAAAAATTAATAAGAGGAAAACCACAACCTGAACCATTCCCACCAGAAGGTGCTACTCATAATAGGTATATACTGAAAGAAAATACCTATAGAGAAAGACCTGTATCTCCAACTTCTAGTGAAGAAGACTTCAGTCTCAAAAGTAAAAATATAGAAGAATGGCTAAAAAGTCAAGCAAAAGAACCACCTCGACCAAGCTCTCCAATAAAAGACTTTGTGAACAAAAATATTGTAGATTCAATATTTAAAAGAACTCATGAAAGAAATAGTAGTACATCAAGTTTACCAAAAATACTTTCTAGTTTAAAAAATAAAATAAATCTAGAAAATGATGAAGAATTTAAACTTCAAAAACCACCTATAAGATACAAAAGAACAAGAACAGTTGTATCAATTGATACAAATTTATCATCTACAAATGAAGATAAATGGAAGAAAGAAAAAGATATTAGAAGAAACTTTTTCAAGAAAGCAGAAAAGAAGAAATAACATCTTAAGATGAAAGAGAAATGAATGAACAAGATAACATCATAGAAAGTGATGTACAAGATTATTATGAAAGTAGGTATAATAATCAAGAAGAAATAAGTGAATCCTCAAAACCAATAAGATATGAGGATAAAGATACTAGAATACTTGAAATACCATGAAATGGACAAACAGCACAATACCCTGTAGCTAGAAATAGTGATTTAACAAATGAGCAATGGCAAAAAGTGTATGCATATACTTCACCAGAAGTAGCATAGCAAAACTATGAAAGTATTCAACATGAATATGAAAATAAAAGAAAAGAAGAAACAAATAAAGGGTATGGAATAACAGAAACAGATGAAAAAAATGATAGTCTGTATGGACATTTCAAGGAAATGCCAATATAAATACAACATATAATCTTACCAACTATAATAGAAGGAAAACAGATAAATTATAAGGTATTCTGTAATGAGAATACAGAGGTACCCTCTATGAATAAAGGACATATCAGGATAGAAAACCCTGTAATAAATAGGTATATAGGTACCTCTGTAGAACTTGCTAAAAAAGGGATAATCGTCCAACTTGGAATAGCAAATGACAGTCACATAATGATAATGAATATATTGAGTAGAAATGTGAAATTTAACAAAGGACAACATATTGGAAATATTGAGAAAATACAGAAAAATGATGAAATTTTTCTTATGAAATTACCTGATCTGAAAGATCAGAGTAAAAAAGAAAAAGAACGAATCTTGATTCTAAAGAATCAATGTGAAAAAACTGAAGGCCCTAGAACATGGAAACAGATTAGTTATATTCTTACAGAATATGTAGATGTTTTCATAAAAAAACAAAAATATGCTACAAAAGTAAATACTGATGAAATACCTCCAATAGAATTAAATTTGAAAAATGGAATAAGAGATAGTGAAATACCAATGTGAGAAAAAAGGTAAGCATTGAGGAAATATAATGAAAAAGACAAAAAGTAATCAAAGAAATGAGAGATAATTTACTTAAAAATGACATAATATTCAGTGGAAATACTGAATAGAGAAGTTCTGCCTTAGTAATAACAAAGAAAGATGGGACAAAGAAAATAGCAATAGATTATAAAAATCTAAACAAATACTTGGAACAATATAGAAAACCATTACCAGACTCCAAACAAATGTTGCAAACAGTTAGTAGATATAAATACTATATTACTATAGACATAAAGTCAGCATATTGGCAATTAGTAATGCATGAAAATTCGAAAAAGTATACAGCAACAACTTTCGCAGAATATGAAACATATTGTTGGCATACATTATCATTTAAAATAAGCACAACACCAGCATACTTGATAAGAGCAATGAACAAAATATTAGGACACTTAGATTATATAGTAATCTACATAGATAATTTTGTAATTTTATTGAACGATAAATCTGAGGCTCAAATAAAATTAACAGAGATGTTAAGATGCTTAAAAAAAGTGGGCCTGAAAATCAAATCATCAAAATGCGAATTTCTCGTTCAAGAAACAATTATATTAAATTGTAAAATATTATATGGAAAAATTGGAAAAAATGTTTTAAAAATAAAGTAAGTAAACAAATTTACTACTCCTAAAAACAAAACAGAATTGCAAAGATTTCTAGGATTTATGAATTATTTTAGATCCTTCATTTTGGACTTTGCAAAAGTAGCAACACTACTATATAGATTAGTAGGAACAGCAGAATTTAAATGGACTGATGATTGCCAAAAAGCAATGGAAGAACTCAAACAAAGAGTTAAAAATGAATCACTATTATCATTCCCAAACATGAACAAACCATTTTTCATGGAAATTGATGCTTCAGATCATGCAATAGGTGCAATATTATATCAACAAGAAGATGAATCACAAGATCATTGTAAAGTTAAAGAATCTCTAAAAAAGAAAGACTTATTACGAAGTAAACTTAATGATTTCTCCAAACCATCAAGGTACAACAAGCCATTATAGAAATTGGGTCACATGGCCTATCTGCAATACAGAAAAATTGGCCAACAACATTAAAAGAAATGTATGCAATATATTACTTTGTAAAACAATGAGAACATTACATAGGGACACAAAAGTTACATGTGTACTCAGATGCAACAGAAGTTATAGCAAATAAAACTAGACAATATGTTAATAAAACATTGGACAACTATGATGCAGAACTCAGACAAACAGTCAATCTTCATATATATGGAATAGAAAGAGTGCAAAACTTTGCAGCAGATTTCCTAACTAGAGGAACAACAGATGAGTTACAACAATTGGAAGAGTTAAAATAACTCAAAAAGAAGAAATAATCCTTTATTAAAAAATATTTAATCAGAAAAATTATAATAATCATCATTATCAATATTCTCGTCAGGATTACGAGAATAATAATCGACATAAATACATTCTTGGTCAGAATAGATTTCTGGACCAGAATCATATCCTTGATCAGAATTTTCATAAAAATATTGGAAAAGGTCAAGAGCATTAAAACAATCAACTTCAGATAAAACAGGTTAAGAAATTCTAGAAGAATGAACTTTAACAGTAGAAGGATCTGTAATGAAAAAGTAAGGATTAAAATAGAATATTCGATCACTATGCACTGCAGGCCAGAGGTAGTTAAACCTAACTACTCTGGTTTGGCAGTGCATGAAAACCCAACAAAAAAAATACCTTACCATCTTTAAGAGACAAATCAACAAAAATTGATGAAAGATCCTCACATGAAGTTAAGAGAAGTATAACAATGAGTATACTTATTATTATGGAAATTAGAACTAAAGAAATCATAATGCCAAAAGTGTTGATTAGAGATCATGAAGTAATAATAATAAATTGAAGTAAATTTATCAGGATTAGGACAATTCTCAAAAAGAAAGAAAATAAAATCTTCAAGAGAAGTTATATTCTTTTCAAGAAAAAGAAAATAATCCTTAGAATAACCAATAATAGAATTATCCAAAATAGAGAATATTCCATCATAACAATCAGAAAAAAGCTTTGATGGATAGGACTTGACATAGTCAGCAGAAAAAGTAGATTTTTTACAAAAATGATAGTAAAAAGAATTAAAGTCAAAAAAGATAGAGCTTTTTCAAAGAAGACGAATAAAACCATTAAGAAAAACAACTCTAAGTTCAAGAAGAACACATGATGAGCAAGCAATGAAATCCATAATAGAAAACTTCCAAAAGTAGACAAATTAGAAAATATAATGAAATAAGAATAATACAAAGATTAATAAATTAGAACAATAGGATAATTGATAAAAAAAGTATAAAAAGGGTTATAAGGAAACCAATTGTATAGATAAAACTCATGAAGAATTTGAGGAAAAATAAGGTGCAAAAGTTACCCCTTAAGTAGAAAAATAATGCAAAATTTAATAACAGCCTATACAACACTTGTAATACTGAATAAAAAATATTGGATAATACAAGAAGAAAGTTGTAAACCATCTCAAGATAGATATTTCATATATGACGATATTTGGAATACAAATTCATTTGTAGAATTTGAAATCATCTAAACAGATAGAAGATGATGTTGAGAAAATTATTAATGAACTTTCTATCAAAGCAAAGATTTCATCAGAAAAACAAATAAAGAATATCTTAGAAGATGAGATGGAATGTATCAAATTCCTACAACAAGAAGGAATTCTCTATAAAAGTCAAAAATGTTGGCAATGTGAGAATGATATGAAACAAAAAGATAAGAAATGGAATTATATGCGATGTGATTGTAGAATATCACAATCTGTACTCACATTCTCATTCTTTAACAATCACAAGATCCCCATCAATGAAGTATTTAAAATATACTATTTATGGCTAATCAAAGTGCCAGCAACACTCATTCATATAATGACTGGACATTCAACACAAACAATAGCAAATAATATAAACAATATTAGACAACTTGTTGAGTCACAAATAAATGACACACATGACAAGATAGGAGGAAAAGATATCATTGTAGAAATAGATGAATCATTATTTGGATGTGTAAAATATTACTGTGGAAAACCCGTAAATAGTCAATGGGTTATTGGAGACATAGAACGAACTTCAGAATGCAAAATATTTATAGTAACAATAGATAAGCGTGATGAGAAAACATTGACTAATATCATTAAAGCAAATGTACACAAAGGATCAATAATATACACAGATCTATAGAAATGTTACAAAAACTTATCTGTGAAGTACAAATACTAACATGAAACTGTGAATTATTCAAAATACTTTAAAGATTTTGAAACAGGTGTATACACAAATACCATTGAAGAAAATTGGCTTGGCATAAAAACATTAACACCAAGCAGAAATAGGGCTAAAGATAAGCTCCAATCATATCTATAAGAATATATATGGCAATAACAAAACATAAACAACTTGTGGGAAGGTTTCCTACAATGCCTAAAGAGTTATCTATTGATAGAAGCAGAAGATAAACCTTTAGAGGAAAATGATAAAACCAAACAATTAGAAAATCTAAATAAATCCTAAATTATAAAAAGACCTCAAAAATAATCTTACCTAACATCCAAGAACCAATCAAAGAAACCAATGAATAAATCCAATGACTACTCAAGTATGGAAATTACCCCAGACAATCAAAACAATACCAAAAGAAGAAATAGTAGTAACTTGGGTACAACAGGTAGAAGAAACCAATACCCAACTACAATTAACTCAAAATATCAAAAATATCAAACAGAAACTTGGCATAAGGTTTAGCCACAAACCAAAAACTTATCACAACTTAGTCGAAACACTATCCAATTTGGCTTATCTAAGAAAGTACAATGATCCTCAAAAGAGAATGGCAGAAGTTTTAGAGAAACTTCAAATTAGCTTCGACCCCAAACAAAATTTTGTGATCAATTAGTAAAGTTATTGATCTTACAGAAACAGAACAATCATGTCAACCTAATATTGAATTATTCAAATAAGATGAAAAAAGTGTATCTCAAAGAACTCCAGATAATAATAAAAAAACCATGAATATTAGAGCAACACCAGTACCAGAACATAGTCACAAATGACTCTTCAACTAGACTTCTACAGATACCAAATAGAACTACATATGAATCCAGAACAACTACTCCAGAAGGAACAGAAAGTGTACAATGTAAAATACGCTCTGGAACACTTGGACAACACGAATATTGGGACTGTCCAAATGCAATATGTAATAAATGCAGAGAAACAGGACATATACACCGAAACTGTCCACATGCTTCATTATTGAAAAATGGAGGCTGGTATGTTAATTTAGCTGAATGCAAAGAATATCAATGTAAATACTGTCTTAAAAGAGGACATAAACGATATCAATGCAAAGAACTTTCATTAAATAAAGCAAATGAATGCAATAGTTGTGGATGTGATTCAAAAGAAGTAACTGCAACAAGAATAAACCATTTAATCAACCCAAACTCTTTAACATCAAAATCAAAAAAGAATCATTGTTGCAATTATAAATTATCATTTACAAGAAATAATTTAATAGGAATACAAAAAAAAAATAATAGAATTCGATTGGAATATGAAGAATGTGCATATGAATATGTAAAATACTTTCGACAAAACAAACCTCAGAAAAAACAAGTAATGGAATGGTTAGAACACAAAGGAAAATTAATCGAATGTTATCTTTGTAAAAAGAAAGAAAATAAAAGAGAATTTGCAAATTATGAAAATATATTCTTTTGTACTTGGAAAGAAAAATATGCCTATCAAATATATCTTGATATAGTCAACTCTTGTCATAACTATACTTATGAAGGGAGAGAAAGACATTGGCTTAACACTAGATGGTCAGCAGGAAATTATATAACAGTCAATAGATTAATGATAAAAAGAATCTATGACTATATTGCAAAAGGAGAAACTAATCTACAACAATTAGAACTTCTAAAAGAAGAAAAAGGAGAAGATGAATTCTCTTATCCAGAGACACCAATCCTCTATAACGAAGAAAATAATGATGTTGTAGAAGAAATAGCTTATAACCAAGCTGTTACTGAAAGCTTAAATAATTTAGATAAAGAAAATACAAAGAAACCAGAAACATATGATGAATGGTGTAAAGAAACCTCCAAAGTGGGATGTACTCTTTGTAAAGAATGTCTTTTACCAATCAATATTAAAGAAAAAAATAGTTATGTAAATGTAACAAATATGATAGAAAAAGCCATTCATCCATACTGTATTGACTGCTATAATAAAGTATATCACTCAACACAATAATGCACCAAATGCACCCAAAACCCTCTAGGATCAGAAGAAGACCTAGCAAGAGGAATATGTCGAGAATGTTATACTAAAGAAAAAGGAAAAGCCAAAGAAGCACCTCCAAAAGACTACTTCTTTAATAAACTAATAACAACTGAACAAGAAATAATAAATGAAATACTCTATACCTATCTTCTATGATTCCAACTAATGGAAAAAACACTCTCTAAACTGGAATTAGAAAATCAACTACTTTGACAACATGCAGATCAAGAACATCTCATAGGATTAATAAAATATGAAGAATTAAAAAAGATGTTTCAATGTATAGTAGAAGTAATCGATGAATCAGTTGACTCAATCAATAAAACTATTAGTCAAGATTGACATCTATACTCATTTGTAGAATATGAAAGAGAAGCATATTCAATAGTCGAAAGAGCTTGACAAGAATTAAAAGAATTACAAGAATCTAAACTTTCAACAGAACAACAAGCATTTGAAGAAGCAATGCAAAGAGGGCAATCAAAACAAGAAGATCACCAAGAATTACAGTAACAACTATAATCGAAAATAATGATATGGAAGTAGAAGAAATCTCCCAAGAAGAATTCCAAAAGAAGATTCCTAGCAGAACAAATTCTGCATCACCATTCCTGAGAATAGAAGATGAACTATTCAGAAGAAGATAAATGTACTACAAAAATAGTACTAATATTATTATCTAATTATTTTTTTTTTTTTAAATATTAATGGTGAGGCCATGCCTCTATCTTTATTGAATATTCAATTGAGATTTTATATAAAG